TGGGGTAAGATCTCTCAGCTTCAAAGCCACTGCCATTATCATCTCAAACTGTTAGCAGTGCCTGGGCCCCTTCCTTGTGCTGCACTTATTTTTAATAACTCCATTTAACGCCCCCACCACTTCCTTGGGCCCCTAAGACTAAATGAAAGAACGCCTGAGCCCTCAACACTTTCTATGGGTCACTCAGTTCTAAGAGCTGACACAGGCTCCCTGATGTTCTCAGTCCTCATTCAAGGGCCTCACTGTGTCTTTAGGTAGGACCTCATGCTCCTCACCTCACATTAGAGACTCAGTAGGCTAAGATCACAAAAAAAGAATGCATACACACAATTGATCTTCACACCTGGGCTCCTCAGAGTTGTGAACCAGGTATGGGAGAAGGTATTCTGTCATGGCCTCTTTCTGGTAGGAGAATTAATTAGTACAAGTCTTTTTTTAGGATCTTGACCTAGAGTCTGGTAATGTTTTGGGTCTCCTATGGAGAACTGGAGTATACAATAAATTTAACGTAATCACTCTTGGAGTAAAGAAACTGACATCTACTGACCTTTTTCTGGAGAGGCCCATGACTGAGAAGAATAAATGAAAACTCATTTTTGTACACTTGCTTTCTTCAGTTATTCAAGTCTCCGACCTTGACACCCCACCAGTTCCCAAGGTCTTGAACAGGACAAATACCTATTGTCTGGAGCCTTAGAGAAATGAGTGTGGGAACACCGCTCTGTGTTTCTGTTTCCAGTGGAGAAAGATCCTCTGATTGGGATGGAAGACCTCCAACTTGTCTTCACTTAATGCCCAGAAGTATTCTGCACACTGAGTCCACTGGCTGCTCTGTTAGATAACACTTTCCTTTCTGAGACTTTCTGTGAAAAACTTAGTATGACAGGTTTACTGGGGCCACACAGGGCTGGAGTGACCCCAGGGGACAGATTCAGTGGGACCCTATAGATTGTAAAGATGGAATTGATCTCCTAAATCCAAAGTCAGGGTTTTAAACTTGAATCCAGATGACTCCAAGAAATTCATCTCTAATTGATTAGACAGACGCTAAGTCTTTCTTCCAAGGCCTGGTATCACGAGATAAATGAGGATGACCTACATCCTGCCACTGTCGCCCAGGTTTTCTCCATACTGACAACAGGGATGTGTTGCTAAGGAAACCTAATATTATAGAATCCATGCTTTTTGGTCCTCAACCTATCAGGTAGAGGTAGGGATTCTGAGCTGTTCTGACCTGAGTAATGTAAACTTGAAATGAAACCTTGACTTTCTTTGGTCACCATTAGGAGTAATCATTTCAAGCCTCAATGGGCTAATCTCTGTAAAGATTCTCAGATATGACAGGGGATACAGGATTCTTTGAGACTCCCTAATTTGGGGATGTGTCCTTCAATCACCACTCAGTTTCTCAACTGATTTTGAACAAGACTCCTCCCTTGCAGAACCAATAGCCTACCCATTACATCCCATTATGTTGTTTTCTCTGACTCTCCGGGAACAAATGAAGAACACTTCAATCATGGAATTAACTCTGTCTACTGAATGATTTTTCTGCATCCTAGGATCCCTCCTTATACCAACACAAGTTCGATAGCCACAAACATCTTCCTCTCCTTCCATGGTCTTTTGAGTGAAAATCCAGATACACTAAAAAAGAGAACAGCTTTCTCTGGGTCCCCACAGAACTGAAAATGGAGTTGGCTCTTTTGGCATCTCCTCTTTTAAGTTGTACACTGGTAAACCCAAAGGATACCTCACTATACTGACTGAAGTCCCTCAGCCGCCAAAGGAAGCCACATGCTTCCCAAGAGGAAGCAATGTAGGCAAGACCCCCATGGTGCTCATGGCTGAAGCTTCTCAGTCCAGCAGATTTGTGAGAATCCTTGTTTAGGGAACAATTCCTCTACTCTCATCCTCCCAAGGGCCTCTTGGCTTTACTTTGGTTTTCAACAAGAACTCCCGGTATCAGAACTGGGGTCCCCACCCACTGTATTCTATTAGGCTGTTTGCTGAGTCCTTCCAGGCAGAAATGAGGAGCATGCCAAATTCCTGTTTATGGGCTTCACAGAGTGAATTCAGTGGAGCAAGAATCCTCCCTATAAGGACTCAAGGCCTCCACCTTCAAATATAGCGTTCGCCTTGCTTAGTTCTTACAGAATGTGTATAAACTAAATGGCTAACACCCAGACCAATAGGAAACAGAGTTGAGTCTTTTGATAGCCCCCTACCCCACTCCTCCACTTTTAGTGAGTGGTTTAGTAGAGCTAGAAATCCCTTGTGGTACTGACCTGAATCACAGACCTCCTAAGTGAAGTTTTCACCCCCTTCAGTCAGCTGATAGGACCTGCGCATAGGGTGCACATCTCCCTATGTCGGTTGGCAGGGCCGAGGCAATGGCACGGCCCCCACCCCCAGTCAGCTGATAGGATCTGGGCAAGCGCACATCTCCCTATGTCGGTTGGCACGGCCGAGGCAAAGGCATGCTCCCCCTCAGTCAGCTGATAGGATCCAGGCAAGCGCACACCTCCCACAGTCCACTGGGAAAGCCTCCCCTGGCACTCCCTGCTGGAGGTTCTTAGGTCTAACAGCAAGGGCCGAATAGCGCCTCCTTAGTTTGGGGAAAAGCTTCTCTCATCAGTACGCGGGGTGCCCCAGCTTTACTGTTTTTGACCAAGACCTCTCTCATGCATATCTGGGGCTAATAACATCCTATTAGGCTACTTGTTGTGACCATGACAACAGAGCTGGGGAGCACACCAGAAATTTACCATGCTGACTCAACAGAGTAGATTCTGAATCCTGTGTTCCCTCCCTCTATAGACTCTCCATTTGAAAAAAAAAGTTTTATTTTTATTTTATTTTTTATTTTTCGAGACAGGGTTTCTCTGTATAGTTTTGGTGCCTGTCTTGGATCTCACTTTGTAGACCAGGCTGGTCTCGAACTCACAGAGATCCACCTGGCTCTGCCTCCTGAGTGCTGGGATTAAAGGCATGTAACACTGCTGCCTGGCTTATGTTAGTATTTTTTAATTTAAAAAATTATTTAGTTTATTTCATGTGCATGAGTGTTTTGCCTGCAGGTATGTACATCCATGTGCATGTATGGTCCCCAACAAGGTCAGACGAGGGTATAGGATCTCTTAGAACTGGAGTTACACACAGTCATGAACCTCCATATGGGTCCCTGGGAAACAAACAAATGCTCTTAACTGAGGAGTTATCTAGGCCTTGATGGAAGTGGTCCTAATTGCCTCATCTATGCATTCTATTTCAATTCCCTTAGACAAAGACTTTTGGAATCCCTTAGGGATTTAGGCTTAAGACTAATGAGTACGTGGTGGCTTTTATTCAGACTGTTAATAATACTCTATTGCACAATGGAAATTCCCTGAGACCTTTGGGTGTATTTGAAATAAAAGGGAATTAGTAGATGCAAGGAAGGCCACTCAGGCAGGTGGTGGTTCAGTCTCTGTTTTGCTTTTTTTAAATTTTTTAAATATTTTTTGGTTTTTCGAGACAGGGTTTTTCTGTGTAGGTTTGTGCCTTTCCTGGAACTCACTCTGTAGCCCAGGCTGGCCTCGAACTCACAGAGATCCACCTGGCTCGCTTTTTTTAAAAAGACAGATTTGAGGCCCAGAGAAGCCTCAAACTCACTAACCTGAAATTCTTAATCCTCCTGCCTCTTCGTTTCCAGTGCTAGGATTACAAGTGTGTTCCACCACACCCATCAGGCCTTAATTTTGATTTATTCATTTATTTGTATTTTAGCATCAATTAACTATAAAACTATGATTCCTGGCATTTTCCCACACATGTTATATGTTAATACATATGAAGCCCCATTTCCAGCTCTCAGCCACTACTCCTATCCCCTCCCCCTTCAGTCCTCCTCCTATCTTTAACATTTTGTTGTTGTTGTTGTTGTTTTTCCAGACAGGGTTTCTCTGTGTAGTTTTGGTGCCTATCCTGGATCTTGATCTGTAGACCAGGCTGGCCTCGAACTCACAGAGATCCGCCTGGCTCTGCCTCCTGAGTGCTGGGATTAAAGGCATGAGCCACCACCACCCGGCAAGATTGTTTTAAATATATTTTTTTAGTGTGAAAGAAAATGTGGATATTTGATTTTTGGAAAACATTACAGCACTTAAAATCCTGATCTCCAGTGCCATCTACCTTCCTGCAAATGACATGAACTTTTGAAGCCTTCAGACATCACAAATCTATATAATCCTATAACTACTACATATATTATTTATTTTTCTTCATACTTCATGGTGAACAAGGAGTTCTGCTTTGTTTTTTTTTACTTTTTTTATTTATTTATTTTACAATACTATTCAGTTCTACATAATAGCCACAGATTGCCTTGTTCTCTCCCTTCCTGCCCCCCTCCCCTTCCCCCCAGCACACCCCCCACTCCCACCTCCTCCAGGGAAAAGCCTCCCCCGAGGACCGGGATCGACCTGATAGACTCAGTCCAGGCAGGTCCAGTTCCCTCCTCCCAGATTGAGCCAAGCGTCCCTGCATAAGCCCCAGGTTTCAAACAGCCAACTCATGCAACGAGCCCAGGACCTGGTACCACTGCCTAGATGACTCCCAAACAGATCAAGCCAATCGACTGTCTCACCTATTCAGAGGGTCTGATCCAGTTGGGGGCCCCTCAGCCATGGGTTCATAGTTCATGTGTTTCCATTCATTGGTTATTTGTCCCTGTGCTTTATCCAACCTTGGTTTCAACAATTCTCGCTCATATAAACCCTCCTCTTTCTCGCTAATTAGACTCCCAGCACTCCACCAGGGGCCTAGCCATGGATGTCTGCATCCAGATTCCTCAGTCCTTGGATGGGGTTTATGGCACAACTATTAGGGTGTTTGGCCATCCCATCACCAGAGTAGGTCAGTCCCGGCTCTGCTTTATGTTTTTAATCCTTGCACCCAGGAAGTGAAGGTAGGAGAATTTAATAGACTTTGAGGCCAGCCTGGTCTGGTAGTGTGAGATGTTTGCTCCAAAGTGAAATGAGGACATAAAAACAATTCCCTCACATTTATTTTGCTGATCTTACTGCTCTCACCGGATATCATATCCAGTCGTTTGAATACAGAGAGTTTATCTGGTTTGTGTAGGATGTGGCCCTTGACTCAAGCTTCGTGTTCCCATGATAACCTCTAACATTCACAGTAACGGGAACAAGAAGGAATTCAGAAGCACAAAGGAAATCTCAGGCTGGGAGGGGTGAAATACTGTGGGTTTTGATGATCTTATACTGTGGAAGATACTCTCACTTAGCAGCTGTGCAAGCTAACAAATTCCCTGAGCTGCATGCTTCACGTCTGGACAATGGGTTTGGTAACCCCTATCTTCTAGTAGCCATAGAATAAGTGTAAGGAATGTAAAGTATTTGATGCAGTGACTAGCACATTTTGAATCTCTCCCTTATTCTGTCTCATGGCTGCAGATGCCAACCAAGAGATCCACCCCCCCAGCCCCCCTCCCCCGACACACAGACACACACACACACACTTAAGACTTAACATAAGCTGGGAGGTGGTGGCATATGACTTTAATCCCAGCACTCCAGAGTCAGAGGCAGGTGGATTTCTGAGTTCTAGGCCCGCTTGGTCTAAAGAGTGAGTTCCAGGACAGCCATGGCCAGGAAAAACAAACACAAAACAAAAAATACTTAACATAAATACATAGAGGGATCCCCATCTGATAGGCCTGCTTTACAGCCCTCTCAATGTGGTTAATGAAGGACAGGATGGGTCACTTTTCTGTCCTCTCTATTAAAAAGCATATTGTTAGCTCTGTCGCTACCCAAGTTCCCTGATTGGCCTCCTAGACGAAAAGGAGGCTCCCTTCCTTTTGAAAAGATTTTATCCACTATGTGAGGCCCTTGCCTCCGTGAGTCCCAGAAGGAGACAAGAACCCTCCTGGGTAAATGCCTGTCAGTGATCTCAGCACAGTGAAAGTCTTTCAGGTCTGACCAAAGGACCTAAGTGCTGTGTGACTGTTTTTCCTGGGTAACTCATTCACACTTGCTATCACCATCTTGATACTTTTTGGGCAGTGAGCTTTTCCCTCTTCTAAGTAGAGCCCCACCCATTCTATTCAAAGGAATCTTGTCTCTGAAGCTATTTCCCACTCCACAAGGGGCTAAGTTCAACCCATGTCTTGGAAGTGCCCTCCCCTGGATAAAGTAGTGAGATTTTC